TTGGAGAAGAGGTGGTCTTTGAACTAGGGCAGAAGCTGCTCTCGACCACCAAGATGACCAACATAGAACCTAAGGGATGGTGGGGACCTTGGAGATCTTCTAGTTCAATCCCATGACAGGAGACCTGATTCTATCCTGGACAAATGTTGTCCAGTCTCTTCTTAAAAACCTCCAGTGCTGGGCACCCACAAGCTGTTTAACTGATTAATTGTTCTCACTGTCAGGAAGTTTCTCCTTAGTTCTCAGTTGCTTCTCTCCTTGATTAGTTTCTAAAGACTCTAATGAAGAGAAGGATGAGGGGGGACATGATAGCTGTGTTCCAATATCTCAGGGGCTGCCCCAAAGAAGAGGGAGTCAAGCGATTTTCCAGAGCCCCTGAAGGCAGGACAAGAAGCAACCGATGGAAACCAATCAAGGAGAGAAGCAACCTGGAACTAAGGAGAAACTTCCTGACAGTGAGAACAATTAACCAGTGGAACAACCTGCCTCCAGAAGCAGTAAATGCTCCAGCACTGGAAGTTTTTAAGAAGAGACTGGACAGCCATTTGTCTGAAATGTTATAGGCTTTCCTGCTTGACCAGTTGGACTAGGAGACCTCCCAAGTCCCTTCCGACTTTGTTATTCTTTAAATATGAATTGAAACTGTTGTCTCCTCAGAACATTTTGACACCTCCAAAAATAAGTCTTTCACAATGCTTTGCCGCACGCTGTCTGTATAAAACACAGGCTCAACCTGTTTACTGGATCCATTTTCTGGGTACACACAATACTCCAAGTTAAACCCAAGGTATTGGATTCACATGACCCTCTGGATCCCCAAAACCCAAACATGAGAGAATGGGGCCGTAGCCTGTGGTGTGAGTCAGCCACGCAGCCTTGACTTAACCTGGTTAAGACTTAACTAGTTTAATGAAGCGAAGGCTAATTTAATGAAGAGAAGGACGAGGGGGGACATGTTAGGAGTCTTCCAGTATCTCAGGGGCTGCCACAAAGAAGAGGGAGTCAAGCTATTTTCCAAAGCGCTTGAAGGCAGGAGAAGAAACAACGGATGGAAACTAATCAAGGAGAGAAGCAACCTAGAACTAAGGAGAAACTTCCTGACAATTAGAACAATTAACCAGTGGAACAGCCTGCCTCCAGTAGCGGTGACTGCTCCAATACTGGAAGTTTTTAAGAAGAGACTGAACAGCCATTTGTCTGAAATGGTATAGGGTTTCCTGCCTAAGCAGGGGTTTGGACTAGATGACCTCCAAGGTCCCTTCCAGCTCTGTTATTCTACTATTCCGTCAGCAAAGGGTCAACCACGTGTCCAAATGTCCGTGGGTGTCTTTCTGCCCTACTAATCAAGGAGAGAAGCAACCTGGAACTAAGGAGAAATTTCCTGAGAGTTAGAACAATGAACCAATGGAATTGCTTGCCTCCAGGAGTTGTGAATGTTTTTAAGAAGAGACTGAACAGCCATTTGTCTAACATGGTATAGGGTTTCCTACCTGAGCAGGGGGTTGGACTAGAAGACCTCCAAGGTCCCTTCCAACTTTATTATTATTATTATTATTATTATTATTATTATTATTATTATTATTATTTAACAACTGCGCAATTCCCGGGATAAATTGAGGACTCCTGGTTTGGGGGAATGGGCTTCCATCCTGTCAATGATTCTCAAAGCCCCTGGTTTTCCAGGAAGAGAGAGAGGAGCGCATCTCGCTTTGCAGGAGAATCCAGGTCTGGATGGAAGATCAAACGTGACCTGCAGAGGTCAAGGGATCCGGAGGCTCTCGGTGTCCTGGATGGGTCATCTGCAGAAGGAACATCTCTCTCTGATGCCACCTGGCCCACAATTATTCATCAACCCCATCAGTGGTTAATCAATAACACAGCTGGCCTTCAGATAAGTCAAGCCCAAGTGATTTTTCCAAGACTTTGCTTCTTCCGTGGAGCTTTCATCTCCCCGCCTCAGACTCTTCCCAGGAGGGCTTAGGGTGACCGCCTGTGGGGAGAGCCTCTTGGTCTTCCTTCCTCCAGTCAATCCATGCTGGTGCAACTTCAAAAAGGGAGGCTCAGTTCAAGGGGGGCCCTGGTGGGACCCCATTTTTAGGGATTGAAAAGCAAAAGCTCTAAGGCAGGGGGGGGTCTGACCTTGGCCACTTTAAGACCTGTGGACTTCAACTCCCAGAATTCCCCAGCCAGCAGTGACAAATATTCTATGTACATATGCATAATGCAAATATTAATACCTGGAGTAGAGTAGAGTAGAGTAGAGTAGAGTAGGGTAGGGTAGGGTAGGGTAGGGTAGGGTAGAGTAGAGTAGAGTAGAGTAGAGTAGAATAGAATAGAATAGAATAGAATAGAATAGAATAGAATAGAATAGAATAAGAAAGGAATAGAATAGAATAGAATAGAATAGAATAGAATAGAATAGAATAAGAAAGGAATAGAGTAGAGTAGAGTAGAGTAGAGTAGAGTAGAATATGAATAGAGTAGAGTAGAGTAGAATAGAATAGAATAGAATAGAATAGAATAGAATAGAATAGAATAGAATAGAATAGGAGCTGGAAGGGACCTTGGAGGTCTTCTAGTCCAACCCCCTGCCCCAGCAGGAAATCCTATATACCATTTCAGACAAATGGCTGCCCAGCCTCTTCTTAAAAACCTCCAGTATTGGAGCATTCACCACTTCTGGTGGCTCCTGGGAAAGGTGGAAGGAAAGAGAAGAGGACAACCAATAGCAAAGAAGATGGACAGTTGCCGTGGTGATGAGGATACCATTGGAATACTTGAAGAACCAGGCTGTTAGCATTTAATCAATCCATCAGCCAACACAAAGACGCAGCTCTTTTAGAAGTCCACAATGTCGAGAAAGGTGGAAATGAAGAGAAGAGGACCATCAACCGCAAGAGGGATGGAAGCACAGTTGAAGGACCTGAAGGACCACATTGTGGACAAATTGTCATGGGGAACATCTATCTAAGTGATCCCCAAAAGCTGACTTTGATTTGATGGCACATAATGAATCGATCAATCGATCAATCAATCAATCAGTGCAAAGACTCAGTTCCTTTAGAAGTCTTTCTCTAAGGAACGGAGAACCAGGTTGAGGACTTTTCATACTGGAAGGAGATCTATCCTTGTGGCTACTAAAAGACAACAATGATTTGATAGTACATAATAATAATAATAAAAAAAACTTTCAGAATACAGAATAACAGAGTTGAAAGGGGCCTGAGAGGTAATAATAATAATAATAATAATAATAATAATAATAATAATAATAATGATAATAATAATAATAATAATGATAAAGTTGGAAGGGACCTTGGAGGTCATTTAGTCCAACCCCCTGCTCAGGCAGGAAACCCTATACCAGTGGTTCTCAACCTTTCTAATGCCGCGACCCCATAATACAGTTCCCCATGTTGTGGTGACCCCCAACCACTTATACATCACCGGGTGCCAGGGGCATGGCCAAAAAAAGGGGGGGGGAAATGGTGGACAGCCTTGTTTGGCGACCCCCGTGAAATGGTCGTTCGACCCCAAATGGGGTCCCGACCCACAGGTTGAGAACCACTGCCCTATACCATTTCAGACAAAGGGTTGTCCAGTCTCTTCTTAAAGACTTCCATTGTTGGAGCATTCACCGCTTCTGGAGGCAGGTGGTTCCATTGGTTAATTGTTCTAACTGTCAAGAAGTTTCTCTTTAGTTTTAGGTTGCTTCTCTCTTTGGTTAGTTTCCATCCATTGCTTCTTGTCCTGCCTTCAGGCGCTTTGGAGAATAGCTTGACTCCCTCTTCTTTGGGGCAGCCCCTGAGATACTGGAATGCTGCTTTCATATCACCCCTCGTCCTTCATTAAACTAGACATCCCCAATTCTAGCAGCCGTTCCTTATATGTTTTAGCCTCCAATCCCCTGATCCTCTTTGTTGCTCTTCTCTGTACACTTTCTAGAGTCTCAAGATATTGAGACTCTAGAAAGAGTATCTTTCTCAATATATCAATGTCAAGCAGGAGACCCTATACCAGGGGTAGGCAACCTTGGCTCTTTGATGGCTCGTGGACTCCCAGAATTCCTGAGCCAGCCACGCTGAGGGGAAAGGGAGAGGTTTCCAAGCTGAGCCAGGCTGGCTGAGGAATTCTGGGAGTTGAAGTCCACGAGTCATGAAGGGGCCATAGTTCCCCATGCTGGCTGAGGAATTCTGGGAGTTGAAGTCATAAAAGAGCCAAGGTTGCCTACCCCTGCACTGGGTTGCGCTAATTTAATAGCCATTAATTAATATGCAAGCCCAAAACCCAGGCAATCTAAAGGCTTGTTTATCCACCTCGGAATTAGCCAGTGTGCCCCCCCCCATCCCTGCCCTCATTTCTTTGGGGCCCAGAGAGAAGGACAAACGTCCGTTCATGCACCCCCAAACCCTCTTATTCCCATTTAGGGAAGCTTTTCCCCCGAACGGTTTTTGGAATAAGTGCAGAAAACGGATTCTGGAACCTGGGAAGTTAATATTTTACTTTATTGCTGGAAGAAGAGACACAGGAACTATCTCTGCATTTCTCTCTGTGTGCGTGGTTTTCTTAATTTAGGAAAAAAGATCAGGCAGAGACCCAAAGGACAAATTCTTTGGATGGGTGATTTCCTCCACCCTTTGAGCTGGAATAGTCATGGGGTGCCTCACACGTCTGTCAGTTCCCAGTTTTTGATGGATGAAAACACTGGAAACAGAGAAACCTAGAAAATGTCTAGAAAGGGACCGACAAACCCAGCTGCATCCACTCCATGGAGTATCAAAGTAGCAGCAAGGAGGTCATGCTGGGGAAAAGCCACTTGTCAGTGAGCTTTGAAGTTCTAGATCTTCTGAAGTCTCCCCTTCTTATTTATTTATTTATGAGACTTATATACCGCTTTAAGTGCAAGCACTCTCTAAGCGGTGTACACCAGTAAGCAATGTATATATATATATTTACATTGCCCCCAACAATCTGGGGCCTCATTTTACCTACCCCGGAAGGATGGAAGGCTGAGTCAACCTTGAGCCGGTGAGATTTGAACCGCTGACCTGCTGAACACAGTCAGCTAAAGTGGCCTGCAGTACTGCACTCGAACTGCTGCGCCACCTCGGCTCTTTCTTGATCTTAGCCTATCAGCTATGTCTCTTCTAAGTTTCCAAAGTTCTAGATCTTCTGAATTTTCCCCATCTTGATCTTAGCCCATCAGCTACATCTCTCCTAATGTTTCCAGAGTTCTAGATCTTCAGAATTCACCCATCTTGATCTTATCTCATCAGCTATGTCTCCTCTAAGTTTCCAAAGTTCTAGATCTTCTGAATTTTCCCCATCTTGATCTTAGCCCATCAGCTATGTCTCTCCTAACGTTTCCAGAGTTCTAGATCTTCTGAATTCACCCCTTGATCTTAGCCCATCAGCTACATCTCTCCTAATGTTTCCAGAGTTCTAGATCTTCTGAATTCCCCTTCTTGATCTTCGCCCATCAGCTACGTCTCTCCTAACGTTTCCAGACTTCTAGATCTTCTGAACTCCCCTTCTTGATCTTAGCCCATCAGCTACATCTCTCCTAATGTTTCCAGAGTTCTGGATCTTCTGAATTCTCCCCATCTTGATCTTATCTCATCAGCTATGTCTCTCCTAACGTCTCCAAAGTTCTAGAGCTTCTGAAGTCTCCCCTTCTTGATCTTAGCCCCTCAGCTATGTCTCTCCTAACGTTTCCAGAGTTCTAGATCTTCTGAATTCACCCCTTGATCTTAGCCCATCAGCTACATCTCTCCCAATGTTTCCAGAGTTCTAGATCTTCTGAATTCCCCTTCTTGATCTTCGCCCATCAGCTACATCTCTCCTAATGTTTCCAGAGTTCTAGATCTTCTAAATTCTCCCCATCTTGATCTTATCTCATCAGCTATGTCTCTCCTAACGTCTCCAAAGTTCTAGAGCTTCTGAAGTCTCCCCTTCTTGATCTTAGCCCCTCAGCTACGTCTCTCCTAATTTTTCCAAAGATTTGGCAGATGGGACTTCCCCATTGGGTGGCAGAGAAACACGCTCCACTTTAGGGCACAGCAAAAATAGGCAGAAGCAGCACAGCTGGCCTTTTGAGAGCCAGAAGAGGGTGGCCATCATGAGGTCCTTCACAAGGAGGTTTAGAGTTAACGGGCAAGTTTTTGAATCTTGCAGAGGTCTTCTTCCACCAATTATGGGTGGTGTCTCTCCCATTTTCTGGTACTAACACAATAGCAGCCGTACCAGGCAGAAGTCCTCTCCTGAGCTTCCTTGGTCAGAAGAGTGGAACTTTGGACAGCTAGTGCTGAGCAGGTGAAGGTGTCTCCAAGTCCATGCAAGAGGGATAATCTTCTCTCACTGGTTCACTCCGTCAAGGACATGCTTTCTAGGTCAATTGACAAATCCTCCCAGCAAGAACCTTTTTCTAGAACCCAAATGGTCCTGGCTCTCTACAGAGCAGAAGACCGAAGGGATCCAGGAGGCATCATCTCTGCAGCTTCTCTTCGTCTCCACACCTCCTGCTCTTGGTCCACTCTTTGCCCCTGGCACAATGTGTGGCACTGAAGGTCAACCTTCCTATGGCTGTGGATGAACGTTGCCAACACAATCGTGACAATCACTACGCTTATAACTCCTCCATTCTCAAGGCAGTGCAACATGGGCTTCTTGGGTCTTTGAGAGGGGAATTTAGAGATTCCCCTCTGCGTGTAAACACATCCGTCGCTGGCAGTAGAACCTAAGAGTCACAGAGCTGGACTGGCCCTTGGAGGGCTTCCGGTCCAATTGCCTGCTTAAGCAGGAGACCCCAGGCCGTGGGGGGCAAACGGCTGTCCAGCACGGAAGCGGCCGGCTGGGCTGGAGGGAAAGGCCTCACTCCGACTGGGTGGGCACCCAGGTGAGCTTCCACCCTCCGTCTTCGTCCCTGCGCACGAAGGCCTGCCCTTGGCGGAAGGTGTGGGTCTTCACGTTGCAGTGGGGGCTCAGAGAGGTGGTGAAGGCCACGTCCATCTTGGCTGGCGAGGGACGGCCGGAGAGGCACGGCAGTGAGCAGGGCGAGGGGAAGGGGCTGGCAGTGCTGTCCACTGGGCAGGTCAAGGGGGCACTCCCGCCAGGTTGAGCCTCGGGGGCGGCCAGGTCGGAGGCCCCAAAGGGACCCCAAAGGGAAGACCCCGGGGAAGGGTCCAGGCTGGAGGCACTGTAGTTAGCTGAGTCGTCCACCGTGTCCAGGTCTTTGAGCCCCAACGTCTGCAGGACCCAGGAGTCCACGGGAGGCGCCAGCTGCTCTTCGCAGGCGGAGAAATCGCCCGAGAGGTTCCGCCTGGCCTTGGGCGGGTGGCGCCCGTCGTGGGCAAGGCGGCTCTCGGTCTTTCGGGGCCTCTTGCCAACCTTGGAGGTCCCGTCGATGTCCTGGCCAGCCTGGAGGAAAAGTAGCTTCTGCTCAGGAAGAGGAAAGAGAAGAAGACAGATGAGCCAGGGAGCCACTTCCTGCCTCTACAAATCAGCCAGCTGGATTTGGTGCCCAAGGTGGGTCTGGAACTCCCGGTCTCCCGAGGATGGGCCGAAAATCACCCAGCTGACTTTCATGCCCAAGGCAGTACTAGAACTCCCAGTCTCCTAGAGTTTGGCTGAAAGTCACCCAGCCGCTTTCATACCTAAAGCAGTACTAGAACTCCTGGTCTCCTGGTGATTGGCTGAAAGACACCCAGCTGGTTTTCATGCCTAAGACAGTACTAGAACTCCCGGTCTTCTGGTATTTGGCCGAAAGACACCCAGCTGGTTTTCATGCCTAAGGCAGTACTAGAACTCCCGGTCTCCTGGTGTTTGGCTGAAAGTCACCCAGCTGACTTTCATGCCCAAGGCAGTACTAGAACTCCCAGTCTCCTAGAGTTTGGCTGAAAGTCACCCAGCCGCTTTCATACCTAAAGCAGTACTAGAACTCCTGGTCTCCTGGTGATTGGCTGAAAGACACCCAGCTGGTTTTCATGCCTAAGACAGTACTAGAACTCCCGGTCTTCTGGTATTTGGCCGAAAGACACCCAGCTGGTTTTCATGCCTAAGGCAGTACTAGAACTCCCAGTCTCCTGGTGTTTTTCACTGAAAGTCACCCGGCTGGCTTTCATGCCTAAGGCAGTACTAGAACTCCCGGTCTCCTGGTGTTTGACTGAAAGACACCCAGCTGGTTTTCATGCCTAAGGTAGTACTAGAACTCCCGGTCTCCTGGTGTTTTTCACTGAAAGTCACCCAGCTGGCTTTCATGTCTAAGGCAGTACTAGAACTCCCGGTCTCCTGGTGTTTGGCCGAAAGTCACCCAGCTGGTTTTCATGCCTAAAGTGTAACTCGAACTCTCTGCCTCCTGGTGATTGGTCCAAAGTCTGTCAGTCCATTTTCACGCCTAAGGCAGGACTGGAATTCACTGTCTCCTGATTTCTAGTCTGCTGCCTTATGAACTATGAACTCTAATGAAATGTATCTCTTATCTGTCTGGCGTTCGAGCTGAATTAATAAGAAAAATGGTTTGGTTCTTCTTGATCCACATCTTCGACTTATTTTGCCTGTTGAGGCTACAGTTTAGAGCCCCAAATTCTCAACATCTTTTTTGTGACAGGGTGACCAAAATTGGCTGCAGTATTGCAGGTGTGGCCTCACTGGGGTTTTACAAAGAGGTACTAATATTTTGCGTGATCTTGATTCTATGCCTCCGTTTATACAACCCAGGACTGTGTTAGCTTTTTCAGTTGCGTAGCCAGACTTTTGGAGAAGAGTGGAAAAAGGCATGCTCTGGTTCAGTGGTTCTCAATCTGTGGGTCAGGACCCCATTTGGGGTCGAACGACCATTTCACGGGGGTCGCCAAACAACGCAGTCCGCCATTTTTTCCCCTTTTCCTTAGCTGTGCTACTCCCTTTTATTCTATTGGCTTTTGAAAGCCAATAGAATAGACTCCCTTGAATAGAGTCTAATTCTATTGGCTTTCAAAAGCCAATAGGAATTGTCCAGGCTGTCTCTGCCCTGCTGAGCCCGCCAAAAGCCCCATTCTGCAAACGGTGCTGCACCAGTTGAGTAGTCCTCGACTTACGACCGGTTGGGGGTCGCGGCATTAAAAAGGTTGAGAACCACTGGTCTAGTTGCACAGTGGCAACTGCCATTTTGATTTTTGGGGGACTCACACCCCCACAGGACACCCCCACCCCACACCCAGACATCAATCAAATGAAGCTAGGGGGGAGGATAGGTTTCTTTGCATGAAGAGGTCCAGGGTTGGTCTCGCTGGAGATACATAGAGGACAGTTACCTTGGTCTTCTCCTCCAGCCGCTTGACCAGGGCCGCGTTGAGGAAGTGTCTGAGATGTTGATTCTCCTCCTGGAGCCGAGCCAGCTCCACCTCCTTCTGGACTAAGATGTCTCGCAGCTGCAAAGGAAAAGAGAGGGTGAAGGAGGTCAGACTCAACCCGGAACTAAGGAAGAAAATTTCCGACAGTGAGAACAATCAACCGGCGGAACAGAAGTTGCCCTCAGAAGTTGTGGGTGCTCCATCACTGGAGGTTTTCCAAGAATTTGGACAACCGTTTGTCCGGGAGGGCATAGGCTCTCCTGCTTGAGAAGGGGGTTGGACTAGATCAGGGGTAGGCAACCTGGGCTCTTTTATGACTCGTGGACTTCAACTCCCAGAATTCCTGAGCCAGTCATGCTGAGGGGAAAGGGAGAGGTTTTCTGAGCCATGCTGGCTGAGGAATTCTGGGAGTTGAAGTCCACGAGTCATGAGGGGGCCATAGTTCCCCCATGCTGGCTGAGGAATTCTGGGAGTTGAAGTCCACGAGTCATGAGGGGGCCATAGTTCCCCCATGCTGGCTGAGGAATTCTGGGAGTTGAAGTCCGCAAGTCATAAAGGAGCCATAGTTCCCCCATGCTGGCTAGGAATTCTGGGAGTTGAAGTCCGCAAGTCATGAAGGTTGCCTACCCCTGGACTAGATTAATTAATTTCAAGAAAAGATTGGACAACCATTTATTCAGGATTGTATGAGGACTCCTGCCTCCACCTGTGAGTTGGACTAGAAGACCTCCAAAGTCCCTTCCAGACATAGGACTCTGGGGGGTTAACTTCTCAGCTGACACCCTGCCTGTGACTTGTGAAAAAGGGTGTGGTATTTGAGAACTTCTTCTCCTTCCTCCAATGGTGTAGAGCAGGGTCTCCCAACCTCAAGATGGGTGGACTTCAATTCCCAGGATTCCCCAGCCAGCCGTTAACACCCGTGGCAAAAAAAAAAGCATATAAAGTTGGGCACAACTCACAACTGCCTTGGTTGGTGCCAATTATGCCCGTATCCGTGGTCCTGACTAGTTAATTCAGCATTAAAATCATGTTTTCCTTCTCTAGATACAAGTTTTGCTGCGTGGACCAGCCAGGTGTCTCAATCCTGACATCCTGAAACACGCTGGCTGGGGAATTCTGGGAGTTGAAGTCTTCCTCCCCCCACCCTCCATCTTAACGTTGCTGAACGAGACTCAGAAGCAAATTGGCAGCTAAGGCAGCGCCATCGGCGACGTCTGTGCCAATCTCGGTTTGCGCAGAACCGGCGCGCTGCCGTATTTTCAGCCCACTGAAGCTCCCGGATACTCTTCAAGGGCAGCCCCACGTAGAGCGCGCAGCAGTAGTCCAGACGGGATGTCGCTTGTTACCTGTTGGTTTCTGAAGAGCTGGGTTGACAGCTGGTCTCCAGAGGGTGCAACATCTGGAAGGACGTCGCCCGGGAAGTAGAACTGATCTGCACAAAAGCGAGAGGTTGAAGAAGTCAGACACCCCCCCTCCACCTATCCCCATCTTCCTCCCCCCCTCCCCCCCACTTTGTTCAGTGCCACTCCATCTCATCTTGAGTGGGTGGAGCCAGCGGAAATGGGGTGCGAGGTCTCTCGTTGCCTCCCCCTCCTAAGCCAAAACCTTCCCATTTCCGGAGAATTCTGGGAGTGAAAGCCCACCCCTCTAAATGTTGGCAAGGTTGAAAAATGCTGTATTGAACAGGTAGATGAATTATGAAGTCTGTTTTACCGAGGTTTAAGAGCAGAATTTTACCAGTGTGATTGGACTATCCTCCCACCCTCTTCCTCCTCCTCCTCCTCCTCCTCTTCCTCCTCCTCCTCCTCCTCCTCTCCCTTCCAGCACTGATTATGTTACTTAGTTAGATAATGAAACAGCAAGCTCAGAGAGCACCAAGGGCCCCACAGTCCTTCCTCCTACTCCTCCTCCTCTCCACAAACGCCAATCCCTTCTAGCCCTGATGAGGTTCCCTAGTTGGGTCATGAAATGTCTGCAAGGAAACCACCAGGCTCAGAGAGCACCCAGGACCCCACAGTTCAACCCTGAAAGGGAGGGAGGAGGGAGGGAGAAAGAGAGAGAGAAAGAGAGAGGAGGGAGGGAGAGAGAAAGAGAAAGAGAGAAAAAGAGAGGAGGGAGGGAGGGAGAAAGAGAGAGAGAAAGAGGAGGGAGGGAGAGAGAAAGAGAGAGTAAGAGAGAGGAGGGAGAGAGAGAGAAAGAGAGAGAGAAAGAGAGAGGAGGGAGAGGGGGAGAGAGAAAAAAGAGAGGGGGAGGGAGGGAGGGAGAAAGAGAGAGAGGGGAAGGAGGGAGGGAGAGAGAGAGAAAGAGAGAGGAGGGAGAGAGGGAGAGAGAAAAAAAGAGAGGGGGAGGGAGGGAGAGAGAGAGAAAGAGAAAGGGAGAGAGAGAGGGAGGGAGGAGGGAAAAGAGAGAGAGAAAGAGAGAGAGGGGAGGGAGGGAGAGAGAAAGAGAAAGAGAGAAAAGAGAGGAGGGAGGGAGGGGAAAGAGAGAAAGAGGAGGGAGGGAGAGAGAAAGAGTAAGAGAGAAGAGGAGAGAGAGAGAAAGAGAGAGAGAGAAAGAGAGAGGAGGGAGAGGGGGAAGAGAGAAAAAGAGAGGGAGGGAGGAGGGGAGAGAGAAAGGGAGAGAGAGAGAGAGAGAGAGAAGATGAAGAGGGAGGGAGGGAAAAGAGAAAGAGGAGGGAGAGAGAGAGAGGGAGAGAGAGAGAGAGAGAAAGAGAGAGAGAAAGAAGAGAGGGAGAGGGAGAGAGAGAGAGAAAGGAGGGGGAGAAGGAGAGAGAAAGAGTAAGAGAAGAGGAAGAGAAGAGAGAGAGAGAAAGAGAGAAGAGAAAGAGAGAGGATGGAGAGGGAAGAGAGAGAGAGAAAGAGAGGGGGAGGGGGGAGGGAGAAAGGAAGAGGGGGGAGGAAGAAGAGAGAGAGCGAAAGAAGAGAGGAGGAGAGTGAGAGAGAGAGAGAAAGAGAGGGAGAGGGAGGAGGGGGGGAAGAGAAAAAAGGGGGAAGAGAAAGAGAGAGAGAAAGAGAGAGGAGGGAGAGGGAGAGAGAGAGAGAAAGAGAGGGGGGAGGGAGGGAGGGAGAAAGAGAAAGAGGGGGAGAGAGAGAAAGAGAGAGAGAAAGAGAGAGGAGGGAGAGGGAGAGAGAGAGAGAAAGAGAGGGGGAGGGAGGGAGGGAGAAAGAGAGAGAGGGGGAGAGAGAGAGGGAGAGAGAGAGATTTGGAACCAATCTTTACTTGATCCCTCAGTTGATTTCCAAACGGAGGACGGCGGGATTAAGCTCATTAAGGGCAAAGGGGGGGGGGGTAGGTGATCCGGGGAGGTGTTTTGTGGGCCTTAAAACAAAACAGAAGAACGAAGAACAGGTAGATCACCTGCCGCTGACGGCAGAAGCAGGAAGCCTGCTCAGGTGAGTGCCTGGAAAAGGCCAGGAGTGACTTTCTCTGTTTGGTTTTCTAACTTTTGCTTCTTTTTGCCTTTTGAGCTTGTAAGAAACTTGAATAAAAAGCTTTGGGGGGGGGGACGGGGGGAAGGAGGCAGCCCCAGCGAAGCAGTCCGAGACACGGACCTCCGTTCCCAGCTTTAAAATCACCTTTTCCTCCGGCTGACCCTCCCTGCAAAGAGCCCCCCCCCTCGCTCGCCCCCCCCCCGCTCGCTTTCAACTTCTTCTGACCCGCGAAGGAGTCGTTGGGAAGCGGCACCGCTCGGCGTCTGGGCCTCCGTGCGAGCGCCGGGCTTCTCCTGCGAGAGGCCGGATCCGCTTACAGAAGGGCCGGCTCGGCAAACATGAGTCACCGGCTCCTCCTGCCAGCGCTCCGGAGGGCCCCGTCCCCACAAGGGGCCAGAAACAACAAGCCCCGTAATTACAGGTGTTCGCCCTGCGATGCCCAGGCCGATCTTTGCGATTGTTAGACGGTCCTGGTTTCGTAAGAGGTGTGAGTTGGAAGGGCCCTGCCCCCCCTCCCTTCCTCTTCTTCCTTCCTTCCTTCCTTCCTTCCTTCCTTCCTTCCTTCCTTCCTTCCTTCCTTCCTTCCTTCCTTCCTTCCTTCCTTTTTACCTTCCTTCCTCACTCCCTTCCTTCCTTCCTCACTCCCTCCCTCTCATTCCCATCAACTTCCTTCCTTCTTTCCTTCCGTTCTTCCCTCCCTCTCATTCCCATCACTTTCCTTCCTCCCTTCCTTCCTTCTTTCCTTCCTCCCTCCCTCCCTCTCATTCCCATCACCTTCCTTCCTTCCTTCCTTCCTTCCTTCCTTCCTTCCTTCCTTCCTTCCTCACTCCCTCCCTCTCATTCCCATCACCTTCCTTCCTTCCTTCCTTCCTTCCTTCCTTCCTTCCTTCCTTCCTTCCTCCCTTCCTTCTTTCCTTCTTTCCTCCCTCTCTTTTTCTCTCCCTCCCTCCCTCCCTCCCTCCCCCCCCTCACTCTCTTCCATTGCAAGGCCTTGCAGGTGGCTCCAGCTTCATCAGGATGCATGCAATCTGCATTTGGGGTATTTGCAGACACACACACCCCCAATCCCATCTCCTCCTCTCGGTCTCCTCTCCTGTGAGCTCAATGGGCCCATTTCCTTGAGGCTTGGCTTCTACATCCCGATCCTCTTGGGACCGCTCCTGGGAAGCCGCTCCAGCTTCTCTCTCAAAGTCCGACGGCCAGCCAAGGAAATGGGCCACGAGGGCTGGGCGAGCGGCAAAGAGCACGAGGCACAGGCAGTCCTTGACTTACAACCCTTCATTTAGTGATGATTCAAAGTTACAGGCTCACTCAACCACCCTGCAACTAACTGGATAACGGCCGTGATCCGCTTAATGGCAGTGGCAAGAAAGGTCATAAAGTGAGGCAAAATTCACTTAACAACTGTTTTGCTTAGCAATAGAAATTTTGGGCTCCTTTGTAGTCGTAACACAAAGGGTGACCTGTATTTATTACCTTTCCTGATCTGGATGCAATTGGTTCTCTTCAGGCAGCTCTCAACTGCATTGGCCTTTTAAGTTGCAGCTTCACCATGCCGGCTAATAGAATTGACTAGAATGTAGAATAGAATAGAATAGAATAGAATAGAATAGAATAGAATAGAATAGAATAGAATAGAAGAATAGAATAGAATAGAATAGAATAGAATAGAATAGAATAGAATAGAATAGAATAGAATAGAATAGAACAGAACAGAATAGAATAGAATATATGGAATGGAATGGAATGGAATGGAATGGAATGGAATAGAATAGAATAGAATAGAATAGAATAGAATAGAATAGAATAGAATAGAATAGAATAAGAAATAGAATAAGAATTAGAATAAGAAATAGAATGGAATAGAACAAAGAAAGGAATAGAATAGAACAGAACAGAACAGAACAGAATAGAATAGAATATAGAAAATCAGTGGAATAGAATAGAATAGAATATAGAAAATTAATGGAATAGAATAGAATAAGAAATAAAATAGAATAAGAAATAGAATGGAATAGAACAAAGAAAGGAATAGAATAGAATAGAATAGAATAGAATAGAATAGAATAGAATAGAATAGAACAGAACAGAACAGAATAGAATATAGAAAATTAGTGGAATAGAATAGAATAGAATATAGAAAATTAATGGAATAGAATAGAATAGAATAGAATAGAATAGAATAGAATAGAATAGAATAGAATAGAATAGAATAGAGAGAAAAGGGATAGAATAGAATAGAATAGAATAAGAAATAAAATAGAATAAGAAATAGAATGGAATAGAACAAAGAAAGGAATAGAATAGAATAGAATAGAATAGAATAGAATAGAATAGAATAGAATAGAATAGAATAGAATAGAAGCTGGAAGGGACCTTGGAGGTCTTCTAGTCCAGCCCCTGCCTCAAGCAGGAGAATCTATCCCATTTCAGGGGGTCCTTTATGGCACCTTCTCGCCTCCATCCCCAGATTCCCCCCTGCTGTGATTTTCCTACCACAGTGTGTTATCCTCCGTGCTTCTCAACCTCGGCAACAGGAAGACGGTTGGACTTCAACTCCCAGAATTCCCCAGCCTTGATAAGACTGAATGGTGCAGGGCTGGGGAGGGAATCCTTGGAGAGTCCAAGACGGATCTCTTAACTCGGCTTTGTGAAGGGGCCATTTGAGCTCCCCCCACCTCCACCACCACTCAGCCCTTAGAGGTAAACTGCCCTGGTATTTGGAGGATCTATCCCTCCCCTGAACCTTCCAGGTATTCCTTGGGGCTCAATCCCCATTAGGAGGGACAGCTCCACTCCCCCCCCCACCCCCTCCCTGGAGGAGTCTCCAATTCCATTTGGTGCTCTTGGAATGCAGGGTGGCTGCTGGCCTCTGCTCTCTCTCCCCCCCCTTTCCCCCCCCCCTCCCTCTCCCTCACTTCCTCTCTCTCCCCTCTCCCCTTCTCTCTTTCTCCTTCTGTCTCTGTCTCTCCCTTTCTCTCTCTCCCCTTCCCTCTCTCTCCATCCCACTTCATCCCCCTCTCTCCCCCTCCCTTCCCCTCCCTCCCCCTTTCTCCCTTTCTCTTTCTCTTTCTCTTTCTCTCTCCCTTTCTCCTTCTCTCTCCTCTCTTGGCCTCTCTCTGCCTTTCTGTCTCTCCCTCACTCTCTCTCTCCCTCTCCCTCCCTCCCTCCCCTGTCTCTTTCTCTCTCCCCCTTTCTCCTCTCTCCTTTTCTCTTTGCCCCTCTCTGCCTTTCTCTCTCTCCCTCACTCTCTCTCTCTCTCTCTCTCTCACCATCCCACTTCATCCCTCTCTCTCCCTCTCCCTCCCTCTCCCTCCCTCCCCTCTCCTCTCTCTCTCTCCCCCTTTCTCCTCTCTCCTTTTCTCTTCGCCTCTCTCTGCCATTCTCTCTCCCTCACTCTCTCTCGCCATCCCACTTCATCCCTCTCTCTCCCTCTCCCTCCCTCTCACTCTCCTCTCTCTCTCCCCCTTTCTCCTCCTTTTCTCTTTGCCTCTCTCTGCCTTTCTCTCTCTCCCTCACTCTCTCTCGCCATCCCACCATCCCTCTCTCTCCCTCTCCCTCTCTCCCTCTCCTCTCTCTCTCCCCCTTTCTCCTCTCTCCTTTTCTCTCTCTCTGCCTTTCTCTCTCTCCCCCTTTCTCTCGGTGTCCATCTCCGTCTCTCTGTCTCTTTCTCTCCTTCTCTCTGGACTGGGGGGCTCCGCAAAGCAGGAGGGGCGCCCTCTGCCCCCCCCATCACTGCGCCTCCCGTCTCGGGCAGAAGCCGCGCAGGGACCGCGGGACAGAAGCGCCTCTGCGCGGCCGGCAGCGGCCTCCGCGACGGTTCCCTCCGGCTCCCGCTTCTCCCGCTCGCCCGGACGGCCGCCGAGACTTACCTCCGCTGGCCGCAGCCGGGTCGTCCGCGAGAGCCGCGGCTGCCCAGATCTCGTCGAGCCAGGTCTCCGAGGCAGCCGTCGGGGGGCTCCAGGGGAGGGCGCTGGACGGGCCCCCGGGCAGAGCCGGCGGGGGCTCTTGGCACGGCGCGGGGCTGCTCTGGCCAGGAGAGAGGCGGGGGGCGGCGTGAGCAACCACAGACGGGAAGGGCCGCCTGCCCGGCCGCCTTCCCACGACACGCGTCGCCCGCCTGGCGCGACGCGGGCACCGGCGGCGGCTCCGGCCCCCACCTGGCGGCGCGTCTCGTGGGAAGGCTAAGCGAGCTCCCGGCAGCCTCCCCCCGCCCGGCCTTTGGGACGATGGGTCCTCCGCTTCCCCCCCCCCCGTCCAGCCGGAGAGCGCGGGCGCCTCGTTGCAAATGCGGCTCCCTCGGCTGAGAAGCGCGACCGAGGCAGCGCGGATGTTGGAGGTGGGGGGCAGGCAGGTGAGGAAAACAGACCCCTGAGCCCCCCCTTCCCCTCCGGGCGGGCTCCCCACTTACCATCTGAGCGGCCGGGGCGGGAGGGGGGTCGGATCCAGCCCCCTCCCCTGCGCGGGCTCCGTCGAGGCTCCTGCAAGCGGCGGCGGCGGCGGCGGCCCCTCGACGGGGCGGGCGGGAGGCGAGCTGGAAGGCGGGCGAGAGGAGGCGCCCAGGTTGCTGCGCCCGCCGCCGCCCGCCTCGGTGCCAGCCTGTCAAAGCGGTGATGCCGAGCAGCCAAGCCTGACGGGGGGGGGCACGCCAGGCAAGGGGGGGCGGGGGCGGGGGAGCCGTCGCTAGCTCCGCTGGTGCCAGCCCGGGCCGGCCAACGTCAGAGAGAGAGACACCCCCCCTCCCCCGCGGAGAAGGGCACAGAGCTTCGGGCTGGCGGGCGCCCCTGCAGCAAAGCCTCCCCCCCCCCATCGAGGCAGGTGGAGGGGAGTGGCAGGGCTACCTTGCCAGCCCTCGGATGAGCTGGCGGGGTAGTGTGTGCAGTGTGTGTGTGAGAGAGAAGGGGAAGCCAAGCCCCTTGCGTGGGTTATGCCTAGTGCTGTTGTTTGGGCGGGGGTCTGCATTACCACCCGTTTCTTTGGCAGCGCTAAGAGGCCTCCCTAGCAGGGCTGGTTTGTTACTGAAGGTCTGCCGAGGGAGAAGAGACGGCCCCACCCCCACTCTCCAGGAAAAGACGTTCTGGCATTTCTGCCATTGGCTTTGGAAGGAAATCCCCTGCCTCTTCAGGGACGGTGGGGGGGGGGTCTTCCTAGTGCAGAAGTGGGCAAATATGGTCCCTTTACGATCGGTGGACGTCGAGTCTCACGATTGGCGGGCCGGCTGTGGGGAAGACAATTTAAAAATTTAAAGCGAAGCAAGGAAGGAAGGAAGGGAGGGAGGAGATGGGGAAGAGAAGGAAAGAAGGAGAGAAGGGAATGAGAAGAAGGAAGGGAGGGAGGGGGAGGGAGGAAGAAAGGAAGGAGATGGGAATGAGAAGAAGGAAGGAAGGAAGGAAGGAAGGAAGGAAGGAAGGAAGGAAGGAGAATAGGGAATGAGAAGAAGGGAGGAAGGGAGGGAGGAAGGAAGGAAAGGAGAGAAGGGAATGAGAAGAAGGGAGGGAGGAAGGAAGGAAGGAGATGGGTATGAGAAGAAAAGAAGGGAGGAAGGAAGGAAGGAATGAGAAGGGCTGGGAAGGAGGGAGGAAGAAAGGAAGGAGATGGGAATGAGAAGAAGGAAGGAAGGAAGGAAGGAAGGAAGGAAGGAAGGAAGGAAGGAAGGAAGGAAGGAAGGAAGGAAAGAGAATAGGGAATGAGAAGAAGGAAGGAAGGAAGGAAGGAAGAAAGAAAGAAAGAAAGAAAGAAAGAAAGAAAGAAAGAAAGAAAGAAAGAAAGGAAAATAGGGAATGAGAAGAACGGCTGGGAAGGAGGGAGGGAGGGAGGAAGGAAGGAAGGAAGGAAGGAAGGAAGGAAGGAAGGAAGGAAGGAAGGAAGGAAGGAATTCCATGCTGGCCCAGGAATTCTGGGAATTGAAGTCTACCGGTCGGAAAGGGGCCATCATTGCTCACCCCTGCCATTGTGGGTCTAGAACCGCAACCACACCAGCCTCCAACCTGCAGGCTTGCCAGTCCAAGCTGAGATGCAGAAAACCTGGGAGTCCCAGCCGACTTGCTGATTGTGGGTCAGTTTTGCCCAAGCAGCTGTTAGAACAAACGGAAAGCTGCCTTCACCTGTTAGAGCAGTGATGGGGAAACTTTTTGGGCCCAGGGGTCAAAAATTCAGAAAATGCCTAATTTGTGTATTTCTGTGTGTTTCACACACACATGCAGACATTCTTCACCAAAGAAAAACAATTCTTTTCATATTCATTCATTTTCAAATAAAATACAGCCCAATCATATGTGGTGTTGTGTGTTGCATAAAGAAACGGTAAACACACACACACTCACTCACTCTCACACACACACACACACACAAAGCAAACCACTTCAGGCCTGTGTAAAATAGCACTAATGAAAAAAACCAGGTTTGTTATTAAACCGTTAATCAAACGGGAAGAAAGCTGCAATTACGCAGAAGTATACTGTAATTGCTTCAGGAGGGAACGTATCACAGAAGAAGCCATGTGCAACTGATGCTTAGGCTTTGAATAGTGCACTAAAATTTACTCAGCTTATATCCTAAGCATTCACGATTGTTTGAAATGGTGCAATATTTTGTCAATTAAATATTCTGTCACTGCACCGGGTACCTCTCGGGAAAAAAAATCCTTTGTATGAGGCCGTTGCTCTGTAAAATTTGTGTGACCCTGAAAAAGGGAGGAGGAGGAGGAGGAGGAGGAGGAGGAGGAGGAGGAGGAGGAGGAAGACAACTATGGGGTCCTCAGTGCTGTCAGTGCTTAGTGGTTTTCATGACCCAACTAGGTAACATCATCCGTGCTGGAAGGGAGAGGGGTTATATTGTATATCAGGGGTCTTCAAACTTGGCCCCTTCGTGACTTGCGAACTTCAACTCCCAGGATTCCTCGGGCCAGCATGGGGGAGCTATGGCATTCACGACTTCTGGACTTCAACTCCCAGAATTCCTCAGCCAGCATGGGGGAGCTAGGGCCCCTTCATGACTTATGGACTTCAACTCCCAGAATTCCTCAGCCAGCATGGAGGAACTATGGCTCCTTCGTGACTTGTGGACTTCAACTCCCAGAATTCCTCAGCCAGCATGGGGGAACTATGGCCCCTTCGTGACTGGTGGACTTCAATTCCCAGAATTCCTCAGCCAGCATGGGGGAACTATGGCTCCCTTGATGAGTTGCAGACCAACTCCCAGAATTCCTCAGCCAGCATGGGGGAACTATGGCCCCTTCGTGACTCGTGGACTTCAACTCCCAGAATTCCTCAGCAAGTCATAAAAGGGCCAAGTTTGAAGGCCTCTGTTGTATATAAACAGAGGGCAACCCCCCTCCCCTTTAGCACGGATGATGTTACCTAGTTGGGTCATGAAACGTCTGCAAGGAAACAACCAAGGTAATAGAGAGTTACAGGCTGGGCCTTTTTGCTTTTCACGTTATGTCATGTATGATGGAAATGACACGCTGTAAACTTCCTTGAGTCCAAAGAGGTGGGAGATATATAAAATGTTGTATAGATCGATGACATATTTTAGGAGAGGACCATTTTCATAGCTTTAGCCTAGAACCACCCGATTTTTCTCTTTGGGTTTTTTTTTTTTGCCCACATATTGACCTTGGCTTCCAAGTTATCCTCAGATGCAGTATACAATAATGCAATAATATCAACTCCCAGACCTCCATTTCCATGCCTGATAAATTCTGGGAGTTGAAGTCCACATGTCTTAAAGTTGCAAAGGTTGGGAAACAGCGTACCAGTTCAACCTTCCTCATCCCAATACCTCCAGATGTGTTCTGCCAGTCATCAATCCAATGAGATCTGTAGTCCAATTCATCTAGAACACAGGTCGGCAACCTGCGGCTCCGGAGCCGCATGCGGCTCTTTGAGCCTTCCCCTGTGGCTCCCAGCCTCCTCTGCCTTTGCAGAGAGAGACAGAGACAGAGAGAGTCCATTGCGCTTCCCTGCTTCTCTCTCTCTCTCTCTCTGTGTGTGTGTTTTGTGTGTGTGTGTGTGTGTGTGTGTGTATACACACACATACACAAACACTCTCTCTCTCTCTCTCTCTCTCTCTCACACACACACACACACACACACACACACCTATAATAAAGATAAAAAAGGATATATGCAGTGTTATCTTCATTTTAGATATCAAAAGGGTTTTGCAGCTCCCGGTGTTTTGTTTTTGGTGGGAAACGGGTTCAAGTGGCTCTTTGAGTGTTTTGGGTTGCCTACCCCTGATCTAGAACGTACAAGGTTGAGCCCAGTATTCTAGAACACTTAGGTATGCAAAATCGAGGCACTGAGTTGTGTAAAACATCTGTGTAATAATTAGTGTTCTGGGAAAATCCATCCTAACCTCAAAGCAGTTCACAGGTTAACTTAAACCAGGGGTAGGCAACCTTGGCTCTTTTATGGACTTCAACTCCCAGAATTCCTGAGCCAGCATGGGGGAACTGTGGCCCCCCTTCATGACTCAGGAACTTCAACTCCCAGAATTCCTGAGCCAGCGTGGGGGAAATATTGCCCCTTCATGACTTGCGGACTTCAACTCCCAGAATTCCTGAGCCAGCATGGGGGAACTGTGGCCCCTTCTTGACTTGTGGACTTCAACTCCCAGAATTCCTGAGGCAGCATGGGGGAACTATTGCCCCTTCATGACTCATGGACTTCAACTCCCAGAATTCCTCAGCCAGCATGGCTCAGCTTGGAAACTCTCCCTTTCCCCTCAGCATGGCTGGCTCAGGAATTCTGGGAGTTGAAGTCCACGAGTCATAAAAGAGTCAAGGTGGCCTACCCCTGACTTAAACACAGGAAGACATTTTCAGTCCCATAGATTTAGCTTAATAGCTTTGTACAAAAGAAAAATAAATCCATGTTTGCCGAATTTATAGCGCCCTGATGCCCTTTCTATGGCGAAGGCTCTACTGTCCAGTGGGAGAGAGTTACCAGGCCCGCTGCAATCTATCAGAGTTGGCGTCTACTCACTGGGCTGCTGTTTTAATAAATTTCTTCAAGAGTTGGACACGCTTGCTGAGCTGGGTGCAAAGGCAGATCTCTGTCACGACCCAGAACTGGATTTCATTAAATCATTAAATGCAATAATATGCAGTAACAAGTATTATTAAAAAAATACCGGAATGCTAGCAAGGAAAAGCATTACAGCAGTGTTTCTCAACCTTGACAATTTTAAGGCATCTGGACTTCAACTCCCAGAATTCCACAGCCAGCATTGCTGGCTGTGGAATTCTGGGAGTTGAAATCCACATGCCTTAAAATTGTCAAGGTTGAGAAACACTGCATTACAGGATCAATTTCTACAAAAAAATTGAGGAGAGACTGGATAAAGATAAAACTGGGCATGCCTTACAACTAGAACAGGGGTGGCGAACCTATGGCACGGGTGCCAGAGGCGGCACTCAGAGCCCTTTCTGTGCGCACGTGCGCCGTCGGCCCAGTCCTAGGCCTTCAGAAGGGTTTTATAAAACCTTTCTGGTTTAGGCCTCTG